TTTGGTTTTTTTTTTGGTTTTTAATTTATAACAGTCCCACTCACCTCTATTTATTCATTTTTGGGAAAACCCGACCTCCCGCAACCCCAAGCCATTCCGCCCGCCCCTCCAGGGATTGCCCGCCGCCGGGCTCTCCCTGCGCCCCAGTGTGTTTCCCGGCCCGGCCCGTCCGTCTCCGCCCGTCTACCCGCCCGCCCGCGGCTCCAGCCGGGTTCTCATGGTGCTCAAACCCGCTCCCCTCCCCTACGTCCTGCACTTTCTCGGACCAGTCCCCCACTCCCGACCCGACCCCAACCCGCCTGAGGGTGAGCGACTCCTGTACTGTAGGGGAAGAAGTGGGAACTGAAATGGTATTTTGTAAAAAATAAATAAATAAAATAAAAAAATTTAAAGTTTTAAAGAACTATGAGGAAAAGGAACCCCGTCCTTCCCAGCCCCGGACAATTTAAAAAATACGGACCTTCCCCTCACACACACCCCCTTTTTCTTTTTAAGCGTGAAACAGCCCAGGGCCAGGGCCTCACTGGGGCAGGGACACCCCGGGATGAGTTTCTCTGGGGCTTTATTTTCGTTTTGTCGGTTTTTTTCTCCTCGACGCTGGGGCTGCGGAGGGGTGGGGAGTTTACAGTCCCGCCCCCTCGCACTGCACTGTCTTTCTGCCCCAGGGGCAGAGGGGTCTTCCCAACCCTACCCTTATTTTCGGTGATTTTTGTGTGAGAATATTAATATTAAAAATAAAATCAGAAAAAAAATCCTGTTTTGATAACGTGCTGGTGATAGCGGGAGTACTGGGAAGAGGGCCGCAAGGCTGGGTGATTGATGGGGAGGGACTGGGCAGACCCCAGCGAGGGTGAGGCCCTCCCCGGAGGCGCTTGTGGAATGTCCAGAGCGCTGGTCCGCTCCTCAGAATGGGGTGGGGGGGTGCCTAGTCCTGGAGCCGCATTCCAGGATAAGGGGGGGTGGGGAGAGGCTGGGCCGGGGGAGGGGCAGGAAAGAGGGCTATAAGGGCCGCAGCCCAGGCGGGAGGGAGGCAGGCGGGCCATGGCGGATGTCCCCGGGGCTCAGCGGCCCGTTCCCGGCGGCGGCCCAGAGCCCCGGGACCCCCTGGACTGCTGGGCCTGCGCTGTGCTGGTCACGGCCCAGAATCTGCTGGTGGCTGCCTTCAATCTTCTCCTGCTGGCGCTGGTGCTGGGGACTATCCTGCTACCCGCTGTCACCATGCTAGGCTTTGGCTTCCTCTGCCACTCCCAGGTGAGCGAGCGCCCCGCGGTGTGCGTGTGGGTGTGTGTGACGGTGGCGGTGGGGCCTGTGGGCCACAATCTCTCCCGGCCTGGGCTGTTTGACTTGGGCCTCATGCCTCTTCTCCTCCCACAGTTCCTGCGCTCCCAGGCACCCCCTTGCACCGCGCACCTGCGGGACCCGGGCTTCACAGCCCTGCTGGTCACCGGATTCCTACTCCTCGTGCCGCTGCTCGTCCTTGCCCTGGCCAGCTACCGCCGCCTCTGCCTGCGCCTCCGCCTGGCCGACTGCCTCGTGCCTTACAGCCGAGCCCTCTATCGGCGCCAGCGCACCCCGCAGCCCCGGCAAACCCGGGCCTCACCAGGGCCCCAGACCGTTCCAACATCAGGAAAGGTCTGGGTCTGAGGACCCTCGAGCCAAGCAAGAACAACTGTTACAACCGCCTGTCGGCCCAAGGACTTGAAGCCCGTAGGTCTCCCGACCTATCCTGTCCCGACTTTTGCCCCAAACGGGTCCTAGCATCCCCCTGGGGAACAAAACAGCAGCATCTGTGAAACCAAAACTGGTGAAACTTCGCCACACCCCGGAAAACCCGCTTTCCCCTCACTGCCCATATTTGAATCCTGAACATCTGGGCTGGACCCTGCACCCACCGCCCAACTCTCCTGTGCACAGGACACTCAACCGCGTTGGTGCCCTCCTTTTCCGGTGCAGCTCCTAGTATTTACGCGCCGCGGGGTGGGGTGGTGGGGTGAGGTTGCAGGGGAAGGAGTGATCAATAAAAAAGTAATAAGGTGAACGCGATTCTGGGATCCTATAGAGAAGGGTAATACTACCATTTCTGCCCTGTGTCCAGGCGCAGGAAACAACATGCGGGTGGGGTTGGGGGTGGCTCTAGTGCGCAGACCGGAGCATCCTTCAGCCTCCTGGCCTTCCCTTATCGCATTAGCCCTTTCTTCCTGGCCAGACCTCAGAGCTCTGTCCCTGACACCAAAGTCACCTCCCCGTCAATAAGAGTGGAGAGGCCTGGCCTCTGTCGTCTGTCTTGCTCCCCTTGGGGACCCGAGCCTGTTCTCTGACCCCAGCTTAGAGGAACTCGGTGTTGCCAGGCCGGGGAGAAAAACAATGGGCCTTCCGGAGTAGGATGACATCCCCCTCCCGCCACAATTCTGGAGCAGCGGCGTGGGAGGGAAGGTGGAAGGGCCCACCCTGAGGCCTGTTGGTCAGAAGCTCAGCCTGTCCCCCATTCCCAACCCCGAACCTGAGGGAACCTCTGTCAGCTCTGGACGTCCAGGCTGTAAAACGAGGGTTCAGAGTGCTTCTGACCTCAGATAAACCTCGTCCTCAAGGGGTGAGATGTGCAACCCCTGCCCTGGTATCCCACCTACACACAGACACAGACCACTTCGGTTACAGGTTTAATGACGTCTGAAGGGCAAGCCCGAGATCGTACTCAGAGATAGGGAGGCCCCACCAGGCTCTCTCTTTGCACCTCAATAGAAACGATGTGGTGTCCGGGTACCATGGCCAGGCCCAGCACACGGGGTTCCCCGGCAGAGAAGGAATCTGGAAAGAAGGGTCAGAGCATCAGGGAGGCAGGCCAGCGTCGGTCCCACCCCTTCTGAGCCACGACTTCTAGCCCCAGAATAGAAGGGGTGCAGCCAGGCAATGAAGGGGAACTGCCTCGCCTGAGGCTCCGCCGCATTCCCAGGCAGGTCCTGCATTCCCTGGGCACTGACCCGATGGTTTGAGGAACTCCTGCGCCGAGCCCAAGATAACATTGCAGTCGCGGTCGGTGCAGAGGAAACAACCGACCAGTGTCCGTCCATCTGTCATGCGAATGCGCATAGTCTTGTTGAGCAGCGCCTCCAGCTGCTGCCTAGCGCGCGCAGAGGGCGAGTCCTCGCGCTCCCCATCTGAGTCCTGAAGGGGCGGGACACGCGCTCAGACCGCGCCGCCCCGGCTGCTGCCCGCCCGCGGAACCACAGCTCCCGACAGCCCGCGGGGCGCTCACACGAAGCCCAGAGGCTGCCGGGAGCTGCAGTTCCCCCTTCGTTCCCCCATCTTGCTCCCCGACGGCCCCTCAATCCCAAAACCCGAGCCCGCGCTAACCCCGGCGCTGGAGCTGCTTTGACGCCGGCTGCAACAACCATTCTCCTCTCGTAGCAGCATGGTTGGTCCAGCGCCGGCCATTTGTCCCCGGGCCTCCTCCAGGCCCTTCGACTTCCTAACAACCTTTTGGGTCGGGTGGTCTGAGATCTCGCGAGCGCTCCCAACCTGTTTTCTTTCGCGAGATCACTTCTCTTCCTAGTCTCCCCAGTAACTGCAGAGATCTCGCGAGCTTTTCCTACTTCTGCGCGGTGGCTGACTGAGGCCTATTACGCCGGACGTTTTAAGATATCGCGAGAAATTTCTCACTTCTTTGGGTTCTTATCCTTTAGGAACCCCGGAATTTAGCAAGAATACCTTTTTTCAATATTCTCACTCCTCCTTTCCCTTGTTTCTCGGCCTCACGAGATAATCTGTCCTAAATACTCCTTATAGTCTAGGCCACTCTGAATTAAAACGGAGGGTGTTCTCTCAATTACTTGGATGCCGGAATCGGACTACGTTTCCCGTGAGCACGCGCAGCTCACGCCCCTCCTATTGCACGCAGCGTTTGACCCCAGTCGACGGTGGCCGCAAAAGGACAATGGTTTCCATGTCAGCGGATAAACGCCCTCGCCTTAGCTCCTGGATGAGAGGGACGCTTACTGTGCGTCCTTAATAAGCGAGGAAGCAACTAAAGGAGCTCGTGACCGATAGAACAAGGACCATGCCGCGCCGGGGCCTAGTGCCCGGGCCAGACTTCGAGTATTTCCAGCGTCGCTATTTCACGCCGGCCGAGGTGGCCCAACACAACCAGCCGGAAGACCTCTGGGTGTCTTACCTGGGAAATGTGTACGACCTAACGCCGTTGGCACAGGAGTACAAAGGTAAAGGCCACGCTGTGGGCCAGCGACGGGGGCGTATTTGGGGGTTCTTGGTTCTTGGATTGCCAACGTTGACGGCGGCTGCTCTTTCCCAGGAGACCTTCTGCTGAAACCCATAGTCGAAGTTGCGGGCCAGGACGTCAGCCATTGGTTTGATCCAAAGACCAGAGACGTGAGTTCTGCTGGAACCTGGGGTTGAGGGGAGGTGCACTAGAGAGCGGGGATGAGGAGGGAAAAGCAGGGGTAAGCCAGAGCCCGAGGTAGTGGCTGCGCCGACTCCTCTCCCCCAAACTCTGCTTTAAAGATCCGCAAGCACATAGATCCGCTGACCGGTTGCCTGAGATACCGCACTCCCCGGGGCCGCTTTCTGCACGTGCCGCCTCAGCTGCCCCGTTCTGACTGGGCCAATGATTTCGGGAAGCCTTGGTGGCAGGGGTCACGGTACGAGGTGGGGCGGCTGTCCGCCAAGACTCGGAATATCCGCATCATTAACACGCTCACGTCGCAGGAGCACACACTGGAGGTGAGAACCGGTACCTGAGGGCAGGTTAGAGAGAACTGAGAATCCCAGCAAATCTGCAAGCAGATCCTCAGGTCAGCAGCTCTCCATGACCAGGAGCTGTATTTTCTTTCCATTTAGAGGTAACTGAGGAAATACCATCACCTAGGTACCCGGGGTTGGGAATTCAAGCAATGGCTGGGCCACAGGATACAAGAGACTTCTTCATAAGCCCAGGGCAACAATTCATGCATCTTAGTGATGGTGGTCCTCAGAAGCTCTTACGTGCTATGCTGTGTTTTGTACAGCAATTGCAATGGGACTCTCTTATTAGTCTGCTCTATTGTGAGGATGAGGTGAGAGGGCAGTGACTTTAGGGCCATCTGTTTATTAGAAGTGATCACCATAAAGACAGGATTTGGGGGCCATGCATTGCATGTTGGAGCTCCAACTTTATATCTGGGACTGTGGAGTGCCTTAAGCTGTTATCTGACAAGGGAACCACTCTCACCCCACCTCTATCATCTTTTGGGCTCCTGGCCTTTGCTTGTGTGTGTGTGTGTCTACCACCCAGAATCCTGGGGATGGGGTGCTTTCGTGTTCTCCAGGTGGGGGCACTGGAATCCATGTGGGAAATCCTACACCGCTATCTCCCCTATAATGCACATGCTGCCAGCTACACATGGAAGTTTGAAGGCAAGAACCTGAACATGGATCAAACCCTGGAAGAGAATGGTATCCGGGATGAGGAGGAAGAATTTGATTATCTCAATATGGACAGTACACTCTACACACCTGCAGTACTGCTCTACTTCAATGATGACCTCACAGAGCTATAGGAAGATATATGCTCATGCAGACTCAAGACATATTTTGAGTTTAGCTGTTTCTGTGCCCTGCAGGAAGAGAGGTGGGGATTGGCGGGGGGTGGGGTGCACAGCGGCTCCTGAACCTAGACCTCCATTCCACTCTGGGAACTGGCCTGTGGTTCCCATGCTTTCCTGAAGTGTAAAGGTCCTACTCCTCATTTAAATTTACTCTGAGGAAGTTAGGGAGAATGCTAGAAGTGCATTAAGTTTTAGGAATGATACAAGAAAATAAAGTATCTTAGATCAGAGAGATCTAAGAAGAGGGAGCTCTAAGAAGAAATCAGATAGAGCTCAGGCAGAACTTTTTGACAGTAAGAGAAAGAGAAGTCCTACACAGGGACAAGGAATGGAAGAAGTTTTCTGGCAATGATGGAAATGGGATGGCTGCAGAAAGATGAGGTTTACAAAGATAGCAATAGGAAATGTCTATCACTGGCCATACAAAACTGGGTTACTCCCTTCCGAATAGTATTTAGCAGCTGAAACCCAGGAGGAAGAAAGGAGGTGAACAGTCGCCAGGTAATTCAGGCTAGATATTATGCTATGTGCTTGATACACCTCATTTAACACAACTACCCGTAAGATAGATACCATTACCACTATTTTACAGATAAGTCTTCTGAAGATTAGCAAGATTTAATAGCACAAAAGGCACACTAGTTAGTAACCAGAATGCAATGTTCTCCATGTTCTTCTCAATGTAAAGAGAGTATCTCAATGTCCAGGCTCGTTGCACAATGGGAACCTATAGTCCTATTGTGTAGTATGATGGGGGGTCTTTTGTTGTTATTTGGGGGGGTTGTTTGTTTGTTTTGGCTTTTGTTTTATTTTGCAGTTATTGTCTTTGGAAGGGAGTTAGCAGAGTTCTGCAGTGGCAGAGAGGGGACAGGGGAGGCTAAGTGTCAGCTGAGTAATAGCTATTCAGTCTACTTCCTGATTAATCCCATAGCAAAATTTTCCTCTTACTTGTCTGAGGCAAAGAGGTGGGCAAACACTGACTCCAGGAAAAACTAGTGGGAAAAGGGCCTTTGGATTGGGACACTTTAGTTGGGGGAGCAAAAAGGAGGCAAACAGCACAGTATATTCATGATGGGCCTGTGCCTCTGAGGGAATATGAGGAGGACAAGGTCATCTTTGTAATATGGTCAGTTTACAAGAAGGGGCTTGACAGAGGTAATGTAAAGAGAGGAGCTAATTAAGTCAGAAAACTCCTGGTGTTCAAAAGAGAACAACCATGGAAGGCAGTGGCCAGATTTGGTCCCCTTTAACCGAAACAAGGAAGGAAAATGAGAATAACAGGTAGATTTCCTGACAGTAGCAGGCAAAAAAGGATGTAATTGGCTGGCTGGCTGATAGATTGTAAGCTCACAAGAGCAGAGATCATGTCCATCTTGTTCATTGTTGGGCACACAGTTGCTGCTCAATAAATGTTGATTGAATGAACTCAAATGTTAAGTGAATTCATCTGTCTATAATAACTAGTGGACGGGATGTTGTGTCCTGGGGGTCAAGGTGAGACCAAGAAATAGGATGTCTGGATCCTGTGCCGTAATCTATCCATGGGTTTCTCTTTCCTTGTTCACTACAGATCCAAGACCAAAAATTACTCCACAGAGCTTCTTTCTTTCACCAGAGATTTTTGGGGAAATCTACCTGTTATTTCTCCATATGCCCACCAGGTGGCTGCAACTGCCTATAGAGTCAGGGGCAGGTACTGGATGGAGGGAAAAGTTCCAAATTCTAAACAGGAACTTGTTTAGGATTAAAGGTAGCCGGTGGAAATGTATAGGTGGGAGGCAAGGATCAGAAGAAAAGGGAAAACAACATGGCCACCATTCTATTAGCATTAGGATTACTCCTGTCTTTAATTTTTTCACAAGCACATGCCAGGACAGTGTGGTCTGAGAAATAAAACTCATGGAATATAGTAAGTAGGGGGTCTGATGACAGGTGTTAGTGTGTACAGGGTTAGGCACAGAGCTGTGGAGGGAAGAAAGAAGACAAATTTTCACATAACAGAGTACACTCATTTACTATTAGTGATTGGTTGGTTGGTTGGTTTTTCTACAAAACCTTGTTCTCTGAAGATCCAAGACTGGGTATTTGCATGAAGAGTATGTAAATAATGCCTCAGCCAAAAACCTATAACATAAATAGAACATGAGTCTAGGGTCCAGGTCCTTCTGTGGTGATCTCTTTCGTTTTGGAGGGAGATGAGGTGGTGGGTGGAATCTTGAAGGAAAGTTGTCTGTCTTTAGTACATCACAGCAGCATCAAAGGACTCAGTTGGCAAATATTTCCCACAAGCCTCACTCACTATATGCGCTCATTATAGAGAGTAATAAAAGTTGTATGTTCTCTTCAGGAGCTTACCCATTCAATGGGATAAAACATACACACATGAAAAGGTAAATGAAAACAGTATGTGATAAAGGACCAAATTATGGTTTAGAGAAAGCTTCTATCTTCATGAAATCACAGTGGGTTCGTAACCTGGACCTTGAGAAATGGTTTCTAAATATTGTGTGTGTGTGTGTGTGTGTGTGTGTGTGTGTGTGTGAATATGTGTGTGTGTGTGTGTGTGTGTGTGTGTGTGTGTGTGCGCGCGCGCACTCCGGCAGATGTGTATTATTTTGGAGAGAGGTGCTATAAGTCCCCTCACAGTCCCAAAATGGCCCAACCCCCTGCCCCTGAAATAGTACACACACGCCATAATAAATAAAGACCCTTAAAAGTAAAATCAAAGGTGACAATATACTGTGGTTCTAGGATTCCTGGCACCTGTCTCAATGGTCGACTTCAGCCTCTTACAACTGTATTTCCATGGGAGCAATTCCTAAAGCTTTTTAAGCCTTGGGGCTACATTTATAACTAGTCTGAAACATTTTACTCTGGCCCCAAATTCTGATCTGGACATACCTTGGAGCAGAGTAAGGGGATCTATCATTTGGACCTGGGACTATAACACTCCATCATGACATCAGGATAAGGTTAATGCAGCCAGTACCCTCAACTGAGTTTTGGTAAACCACATAGATGTGTTGATTCAGGAGAACAGTCACTTTATGAATGATCAGCAAGAGGGCATGGAGGTTTAGTTGTAGAGAGAGCAGACAATTTGAAACCCGAATGATCTTGAAAGTCAAAGATTAGGTTTTCAAAATACAAACAGATATGCAGCCCAAGTACTGGGAAACACTAAAAAAAAAAAAAAGCTGGTGAATGAATAAATGTAGTGAGGCCATTAAAATGGGGTCAGGGATCAAGGAGGTTGAGACAAGGGACGTGATGGTAGAGATACTGCTAGAATTAAGTGTCTTACTGGGAGAAACTCAGTGCCTGCCTTTTGTTTATTTATTTATTTATCTTAAATTTATTTATTTACTTTTATTTAATTTTTATTATTTTTTAAAGTTGAAGTACAGTCAGTTACAATGTGTCGATTTCTGGTGTACAGCACAATGTCCCAGCCATAAGCCGGCACTTTGTGCCAGGCACCATTCCAGGTACTGGGGATACAGCAGTGAATGAGACAGGCAAGGTTCCTGCTTTACTGGGACTTACACTCTGATGGGATAAACAATAAACATGTAGACAAGACCATTTCAGATAGTGCTAAAAGCTATATATTATATATGTATATATACACACATATGAACACATACACATATATACATATATATACACCAGAAGTACTATAAAAACACAGAATCGTGAGAGTGATGGTCGAATGATTGGGGGCTTGTCTGAGATGATTACAAAGATTGATATAGGTCTGCATTACCTGCATTAATCACTTAATCCTCATAACAAACTTAAATACTATTTTTATTTACACTGAAAAAAGAAGGAAAGTGAAGCACAGAGAGGTTAAGTAACTTGCCAAAGGTCATACAACTAGTAAGTAGCAGAGGTGGGCTTTAAAACAAGACAGTCATAGGCCACCCACTTAACCACTGAATTGCATAACCTTCCTGCATGACAGACATAGGATGCTGTTCCACTTACCTATTGCTGCTTAACAAAACCATCCCAAGATTTAAGTGGCTTAAAACAACTACCATCATTTATTTTGCTAATGAATCTGTAACTTGGGCAGGGTTCAGTGGGGACAGCTCATTTCTACTCCAAAAGGTGTCTACTGGGTGGACTGGTGGAAGCTGTAGGATTCACTTTCCGAATATCTCACTCACAAATGGCTGGCAAGTTGAGGCTGTCTATTCGTTCTTCTCCATGTGGGCTCCTACACAGGGCAGCTTGGGTGTTCTCATAGCATGGTGGCTGGATTCCAAAAGCAAGTATCCCAGGAGAACCAGGAGGAAGCTGAATCAACTTTCATGACCTCATTTCAGATCCAAGGGGATGGAATTAGACCTCACTTCTCAGTGGGAAGAATGACAATGTCACACTGTAATAAGAGCATTTTGGGTGTAAGATATTACTGTGGCCATTTTTGGAAAATACAATTGGCCACAAATGCACTAGAGGCAAAAGGAGGAATATCTAATTATCTAATCATTCTTGGGTGGGAGTGGGGCATTGAGCCTTTCTTGAAAAACTAAGTTGGAATCCTGGCCACCCCTGTCCATTTATTTAATTAACTAATACTGAGCATCTACTATCTAACAGGCACAATTCTGGACTCTGTGAATACACTAGTAAGACATAATTTCTGCCCTCAAGGAGCTTACAGGTTAGTGGGAATTCAGAGAAGTTTTTGAGCCTCATAACTTGTTAGCTTCTTCCACTTGTACACAGCAGCCAAGGGAAGCTTTTAAAGTTTCCCTGTTTAAGTCTTCAAAGGCTTCCAACACTCTTAAGAGGACATTCTTACCATAATCCACAAGGCCCTGCATGATTTGGCCCTCCCAAGCTCTTCTTTATCTCTCACGTTAGCCTTTCAGTTTCTGAAACTCCCCCAAGCCTTCTCACATGCTGTTCCTCTGCATGGAACACTACCCCCTCCACTCATCATTTGGCCACACCTGATTCTTAAAATCTTTACTTAAATGTTACTTTCTCAAAGAAGTCTTCCCTGATCACTTCAATTATGTCAAATCTTTGATCATACCCTCTCAAGTTGCCCTAAAACATTGTAATTACAAGGAAAATACTTAGTGTAATTTGTTGTTTAATGTCCATCTTTCTCCCTATTTAGACTATAAGCTCTAGGAGGGCAGGGATCATGACTTTTATTTGCCACTGAATATCTAGCACCTAGCCCAGTGCTCAGCCCAGAGCAGTTACACACTCAATATTCATAAAATGGACAAATGTAATGTGATAAATGCTACAAAAGGGCTAAGTAAGAAATGGCTTGGGAATACCTGAACACAGTCTGGGGAGATCAGGGAAGGCTTTCTAGAGAAGCATCATCTCAAGCTGAGACCAGAAGGACAAGGAGAAGGTAGCCAAGTGAAGAGGAGGGAGAGGGTAAGGAGAAAGAATAGCATAAATAGTGCAGAGTTTAGAGGTGAGGGGGTGCATGGAGAGCTCAGAAGCAGACGGAAGCGCAGAACAGTACAGCTAAGAGGAGGTGTGAGGCCTGGGGAGAGTGGGCAATGAGATACTGAGGTCAGACCAGGTCCCGTGAGACTTTGTAAACCAGGTTAAATTTTTTTTTAAATTGAGATATAATTTACATATTGTAAAATTCACTTTTTTATTTGGGGGGACCAGGTACTTAGGTTATTTTTAACGGAGATACTGGGGTTTGAACCCATAACCTTGTGCATGCTAAGCATGCATTCTAATACTGAGCTATACCCTCCTCCCAGAATTCCCCCTTTTAAAGTGTACAATGCAAGCTTAAGGGTTATATAAGGAGAATATCATGATCATATATGCATTTTAAAAAAGCGACTACAATATCAAGAGAGAATGGATTGGAGGGGAGAAAACGGGACAAGGAAATGGAGACAGACTGATGCTGTTGCAACAGTTGAGGAGAGATGAAGGTAGTCAGAATGAAGGTCAGGTCAGAAAAGATGAAGGTAAGAGAGAATTATATAACTCGATAATGTATTGGGAGGGAGTCTGAGGCAGAGGGAGGAGTCAAAGATGATACCCAAGTTTCTAGCCTGGGTGACCAAGAGGATGATGGGTCCACTGACAAAGAAGAGTAATGCTGGAAGAAGAGTTTGGGAAGAACGGTGATGTATTTTTGGTTGGCTTTCTTAAGTAACTTTGGGGCATGCAAATCCAGATGTCCAGATCTTACCAGGTATGTGGTAGTAGATCCTGAATAGGCTCTGGGCTAAAGTTAAAGGTGTGGGAATCTATCAGCAGGGAGTAACCACTACCGAAGTCAAGAATGAGGTCAATTCAGAATAAAGTGTGATCTATGAAGAAGGCCTGGGAGGAACAATATCTAAGGGACGGGAGAAGGAGATTTAGAAGGGAGAGCCAAACTGGTGAGAGAGACCCTGGAAAATGGTGCTAGG